AGGGCTCTCATTAGTGCACACCAGATTCTTATTAAATTGTAGATTTCATGATATCATCCTTCTGAGATGTGAGAATAATTCATGGAAACATAGATGACAAAAAAGATACTAATGACTGAAAGCTCATTTTAAATATTATAATCACAATTATCATCCCCCTGTGTGCAATCTGAAATGGGTCTTATATGCATTTAATTGAAGATTCTACCATTGTAAACAAAGTTTTGTGTACAACTGTTAATGTTTTTGAGGACAGCACTTCAGGGATGTTTATTACATTTACTGATTTACTTTATTGCAAATTAATTTTTGCAATACAGTTTTGTTACTTGAGTGCTTCCATTTCCGTGACAACAGTGATCTCTTAATAAGTTCCCTTGTTTCCCTTAATTAAAAAGTTGATTGTTTCATTCCGCAGGTTTATCATTTTTCTCCTCCTCTCTTTCTAAAATTAATTAGTACAATAAATATTTGCTATTCAAAGGCTGCCCGGCCGCACACAGCACACACATTACAGACACACTACAACAGGCACCCGGTCCTTTTCCCCAACTCTTCATCTTTCCTTCGAGGGTGAGGAGGACTTGTAGTGATTGATGAAACATTTCTGAGAACACAGGTTGATATTAATTATAAAGCAGCTCCTTCTGGCTGCAGCTTGCCATTACATCTGCTGTTTATCTGATTTTTGCCTCAGTGTTTGGTTGTGGAACTGGAAGCCTTTTAAACACCTTTAATTAATACTAAATGACTTTCCTGTGATTTTTCTCTCTGTTTCATATGCAAGCAATGATCTATGAAACAGGAGGTGAAACCAAGTGTCTCATCCTATGGTCGTTATTTTCATTTCTTCATGTTTGAAAACTGAGCCTGTATCAGAGGTCTAATGTTTTTTTTATCCTGCATATGAATATCTGCGCTTGAATTTTCCAATCTATCTATCTATCTATCTATCCATCCATCCATCCATCCATCCATCCATCCAAATTTTTATATTAATAACAGAATGCAAGTTTACCACCTAGTCTAATTTCAAATATCTGAGACTAATTAATGGATTCATTTCTTGCTCCTTGTTATGAATAAACATTATTGGGTCTAATATCAACTATTTTCTTTTTGTATTGGAAATTTATCCCAGGATAAAATATCCAATATTAAGAGAGCAGAAAATCAGAGAGACCGGGGGGATTTCAATTGTTCGTTTTTGCACTATGCTACTCAGCGTTAGATGGCAAGAATGCTTGCCTCTGAAAGTCAGTTTCAGACTAAATTAACTGAAGAACTTCTCAAAAACATCAGGATAAGAACGGTCATCGTTTGAAGCAGTGAGCAATGATGATTCTGCCACATGAAAACAGGAAACGCAGGCAGGGAATCATGCTCCGCTTTAAAGTCAAGAATAGTCAGGCTGGGGAAATCTTCAAAGAATAAAGAGGGGAAACGGAGTTGCCATAGTGATTGTCTACTGTCACACGGTTACTAAGGAGCAAAGCATGCTCTAACTAATGCTGAAAATCTTTTAATTTAAAGGCAGGGGAATATTAAGGTTTTATTCCCTTTGTCTGCATAATTTGATCACAAAAACAACAAATTATGGAACGCTTATGCTTCTTATTAATGCAGGTTAACACCTTGCTAAAAAAATATATAGCAATATTATCTTTGCTTGAGTCAAAGTGTGTCAGTGGAAAACCTGTTCTGTTTATTTCAGCATTTTAAGGTAATTGGTTTAAATTGATCAAATCTGTTGAGCCAAGCTGTTACTGTAAAATGATCCCAAGTAATTTATACTTCCAGTTGCAGAGATTTAACAACTGGGCTTAACATTATGTCTAAATGTGTCATTCAACCCCTGTGACTAACCAGATGAAGACCAATAAGGCATTTTGCAACAGACACATATAGAGAATTGCACTTACAGATTTGGCAAACTGAGTGTAACATTGTATCGTGTTTTTAATCTTGGTCAAAATTAAACGATCAGTGTCTTTGTTATATCAGTGTGTGAGAATGTACAATACAGTGTTTAGTATGCAGTGTGCAGACCAGAATGAAGATTTACAAATATAATTTAATCCTTTTTTTGGGTTAGCATCAGGATTCAAATTAGGAAGCGACAGCCTCACTAATGTAACACACCTGCCCTGACACACAGTGGAGTGACTTGTAGAGAAAGTTGATTGGATTGATTGTGGAGGCTGCTGATTGGATCCCAAAGAGTCACAAACAAACAGCTTCAATCAGGACACTTTCGGCTCTGCTGCTGATTAGTCCTCTCTGACGTAAACACAGCTCACCTGATTCTGCATGATGTGTCAGAATTTTGGTTTGGGCACATCTTGACCTTTGTGTGCCAGGTGAAACAAGGCACCAATCAGGTTGGGCTCCTTGACAAAGAGCAACACGCAGTCGCCCAGTGGGCACCTGTGGTGCCGAGCAGCAAGCTAAACACAGGGAGTCATAGGGTCTAATCTCACTCTGCGACTAACCAGGTACCAGCAGGTGGGAGTGCTGCAGGCGCTCACCTCGTGCTGAGAGCTTCATTGCAATGCGCTAACTCACAGCCAAGCACTTACTGTAAATTCCAGGTTGAATCACCAAGTAGCACATTTGCAACAATACTGTTGCCTTTTAATTAACCTCCTGGGTCCGCACTGCTTTTCAAACTTTTTTTGCAGGAGTCCTTGAAAAACACAAACAAAATATAGCTTAAACCTCCAACAAAGGTAAAAACAACTGATAATTGTTGATTAATGTATAATCACTCTAAAATACATACATAGTCCTTTTGAGATCACAAAACCTGGCCTCTTAGTAACAATATAACCATTGCTATTCTGACAATGAGGAAAATCCAGTTAAATATCAAGTCATAATATCTAGCTTTTTTACATACAAAGCAATTGTCTGGATGTGCAATTACACATATTTTGCCCAGTTATTATTTTTTTCAGTGTTTAATTGAACGAATAACGCATTGTTCATAACATGATACTGTCAAACAGACATGTGGAGAAATCTTGATGCAGTTCTGTGGTACCATGGAGCCAGTCAGAAAGGTAAGCAGGACATGCAGTTTATGATGAGTAGCTATAACTGCAGTTCTCATTTAATCCTTCTTATATCTTTGGGCATACAGCGACAATGTGTAAAATATTGCCCCCTATCGGCTATTATGGGAAACTCTTAATGTAGGTGAACAGCGACCTCTTTTGGTAGCCAGTACTGATGCAACTGTACTAAACTACTTATGTGAAAGAAAATGCGTTTAAACGTTTAACAAATACACTCATCGTACTTCAGTTGCCCTAACACACTGATAGCTCGTCGAGTTCAAATCAAAATTTAACTCCACTGTTGCTTTTCCGTATGCTGTTGGAAATTTGAAACTTCAGGTGTAATGTCCAAGCAAGTATTTGTCCGTTTAATTTATTCATTTAGCAGAAGCTTTTATCCACTTGCACTTGGGACAACAGAGTCGGCAAAGGGACCTTGCACAAGAGCCCCACGATTAAATCACTCAAACGACCGTGAGATGATCTATTCACAAGCACGTCGCCCCGGTAAAGTACACACCGGCCAGCACAGCTATAATATTAAGGCGATCTATGCCGTGTTTAAACTTAAATAAATCAAATATTTTACATGCTTGATTAAGACGTAAAGCTTACTCACTCATACAATTTAACTACCAACCATAACAATCACCAATACTGCGTAATATTTTAAATAAACCAACATTCCATTATCTTGTTTTTCACCAGAATGATAGTCTCCGTAGAGACCTACAAAAATTGCCATAGCCGACTATATTTCAAGTCGTCAAGGCGGGGTATTGGGTAAAGTTTTCAACTAGCAATAATCGCGCCTCGGATAAACCTCATAGGCTACGATACTGCCACTGCGCAAAGCTACAGAGCTACGGGTCGGCCGGGAACGCCAGGCGCGCCCACCGCTGTCCCTCTCACGGGTTATGCATTTACATCACTTTACGGGTCCCGCTTATTTACGGCATGTGGTGTTTTTTTTAATGCTACGCCAGAGACAGTGTAAAATTTATTAACTGTGTTATAAGAACCTCACGTTTTACTTAAAAATGTTCGCGTTGAATGGACACCGGTGCATCATGGGATTCCGGAACACAGCATGGCTTTAGCATGCGCTTAGCCGCGCGTGCCGGTTTGCGTACCGCCCAGGGGTCTGGGTGTGGGTCCGGTTCCGGGTCTGGATCTGAGTCGGTTGTGAAGCCGTTTAGAACGAAACGAAAAGAGCCAGGTCGCATTTCTTGTGGGTTTCATTAAAATACGGTGGTGGGATGTTTCATGTAAAGAAATATGGTTCTTTGACTGGTTAAACGCACGATGCAAAACGTTAATCTTACTAAATGTTCCACTACAATAATACACCAGAAAAGCGAATTACAACTTGTTCGCTTCACAATCTACAGCAATTAAGTGTAGATTTCCGGGCGGTCCTAAAACGCGTATCTTTTAAACGGTGGACTAAAAAAACTACCGAGTCCATTTCCGCGACGTGTCGCTGATACTGTTTAAATTTTGTTTTCACAATATAAATACAGACATTCCCCTTCTGCACAACGGGTAGCATAACGGGTCTGTATTGTAGTGCAGTTTTTAACTCTTTAAATCTGCGTTAAAGGAGGTTACAGCTTTTCTGTTGGAGGTCATTTGATTGTTTTCCACGAATTCCATTTTGGAAGAAATGTGTGTTTTATTCATTAACTTAATTTACTTCAAAGTCACAATCGGTGACAGGGTTGGCAAATCTGGTGTGACGCTTTCAGACAACGCTCAGGCAAGAAACGGCAAATTTATATTGTTCCATTATAAACCTAAAATTAGTATACATCACAAGGGATAGGATAGTTTGTAAATACATGTAAATCAATGTGCAGACTTGTCTCGAATTGAAACAGCCAGCTGACCAAAGTTAGCGACGCGTGGAGGTGTTTCTAAAATAATATTCAAACAATTCCATTTAATCGATAAATGAGATTTATTCAATGTTACCCTAATCCTTTACATAGCTCTTGCTAAAAAAGTTGTTTGTCACATTTGGTGGGTGCACACATTTCTCGTTTTTAGTAGGCCTAAGATTATTGGCAAATATTCGACTGAAGTCAGCACAAATTAAGATTCAGTTGGTCATATAGCATATATATCTATTTTTTTACAATAAGAACGAATTATAATCATCCGTTTATAAACAATTTTCTCTTTGTGTAGTTCTTAGATTTTTCAGTTCATTCACGGGTCGTGGGAAAAGATCATGGCTTTGTTCCAGATAAATCTGTAGATTTACTAAACGGAGCGAATGTCTCAAGCACTAACTTACCAGGTTAATTTCATATTCTGTTTAATGGCATTTACTTTGTCCCTGTTCGCCCGCTGAACTGTAAAGATTATTTTTTTAAGTACAAATTAAGCATAAGAAAAAAATCCAAATGTTGCCAGTTTTATTCATAAAACCTGTCATGAGAATTATTTACAACATACGTGCATTTAAAAAGATATCGTAGTATAACAAGTGTAACATGTTTTGCAAAAAGTAAAAAGGGTAAAGTAAGTGAAAGGTCAGTCACAGCAAAAAGGTGTCCGACCTATTGTAACCCCATTTGTGATTAATAAAAACGTGGTTACTTTTAAAAGTTTGTTGGATGCCAATTATAAGGTACTACAAAGTATGTATATTAGGAATTTGTGCCAGTGTCATCCCTATTTACGTGCTTATAAGTTAGTACGGTACCATTTTCTTGTAACCTTAGATGGCAATCTCACACACAGAGTAGTCTGACTGTAGAAAGATGATGACAACGTGAATTAAAGCGAAATCGCGAGCATTTCCGGCAATTTTAGCACCCAAAAAGGAAGAGAAAAGGCGTGCATATGGTCACCGAACCACATGGTCGTCACCGTATTATCATCTTGGTTCCATGCCTCGTTACTCCATGTTTCTGTCCTGTATGTAATAAGTGACCCCTGTAAAAGTATTATTAGATGCCTATACTTGTGTAACAGTACAAATGTTTAATGAAGTGTCTAATATAAAAATAAGACCTTGCACGTTACTGCAAACCAGTACACATGCGTTATGTGCGGGATAGTGAATTTCTAAAGGAAAAAAAAACTAAAAAGAGAAATGAAAAGCATGCTGGGAAATATGCAAATATAAAAGGAAGCAACCAGTCAGCTATCATTCATTGGCTTGATGGTTTTACAAAAGACTGAAGAATTTCAATATCTAAACAGTGCATTGAGAACAGCCTTTGTAAAATATATTTATAGTTTTCTTGAATGTTAGCAGCTCAGTTACTTTGAGTGGGCATTTTTGAACCAAATTAAAATGTAAAATGTTCAAAAACCAATGCCTTAAATAAATTACTTCCGACAGAGATAAAACTAATCTCCTTAATTACAAATTAAAGTTTAACTGAAATGAATTATGATTTAGTCAATACACGAAATACTATGTAGTTGTCAGTACAGAAAATTACAGAGTTTTGTGTAGTGTGCTGTGTTACTTGGTGGAGAGCGTGACATAATACAGGGGAAAAAAATGAATCAATCTTTGTCTCTGAAAAGCCAAATATTAAGACAGTGAGACTTTTAGAGTGCAATGTTCACGAAGATCGAGCCAAAATAAAGAGTCAGTCAGGGGCTAAAATGATTCCTCAAGAGGTGTGACAACACAGGCCAGAGCAGAACAGTTACATCTAGCTGAATAAAAGGCAGATGAGAGGTCCTGAATGTGCTGAGGCAGAGGAGGACGGCCAGCGGGGCCGAGACCACCAGTCATGTGGCGGCTATGTTCTGGTTGCACTCTGGTGTCACGAACTGCACCTTGGGCATCATGAGGGCGGAGTTGTTGCGGCGCATGGAGTTGTTCTTGCGCATGGAGTTGCGTTTGCGCAGTGAGTTCTGGTGCGAGAGCTCGCTCTTCTGCATGGTCTGGATGAGGATGAAGGGCTTCTCGTCCAGCTCCCGAGCGCTGCACTTCGGGGTGGGTACCTTTACCGTGTTGCCGAATTTGGAGTAGTCTACGGAGTACACTCCCTCCTCTTCGGTGACGATGGGCACGAAGCGGTGCCCCCACTGGATCTCCTCCGCCACGTAGGAGGTGCGGGCCTGCGTGGTGATGCCTGTGGTCTCCACCACCCCCTCCAGGATGACGATGACCTCCAGGTCGCTACACTGCAGCTCCATGGCTGACAGGTCATACAGGGGGCTGTCCTTGTCGATCACGTGGCAAATGATGAGGGGCGCCAGCAGAAACATGTTATTGCTGTAGGCAGCGCTCTCGGTCTGGATGTCGATCTGGTGGATGGGGATGACCTCACCCTCCGGGGTGGTGGTCTTGCGGACCACCTGAAGGCGTACAGTGGCTCCGATGATCATGCTTTTACGCAAGTCGCCCACACGGATCATGAAACAGAGGCGGTGGTTGCGCACGGCGATGACGGCGTTGCGGCTGAAGATGAGCGTCTCGGCACGCCGGTGCGACTGCGCCGTCTTCATGAAGATGCAGCCCAGCATGATGGCGTTGATGATGAGCCCGGCTATGTTCTGCAGGATCAGCACCAGGATGGCGGTAGGGCACTGCTCTGTGATCATGCGGCCCCCGAACCCAATGGTCACCTGGACCTCAATGGAGAACAGGAAGGCTGAGCTGAAGGACCTGTGGGTGGAGACAGGGGTCAGAGGTCACCGAAAACAGGTTAAAACAGGGGAAGTGGAGCTGAACTGCACAAATAAGTCAAATATCAAGGCAGTGATGACACATTAGTAATATCTAACGTCAAATTATATATCCATCACAAGGAGAGAACTTACTCACGTTTGCTTCCTTGAAAGGAGTAAGGAGTTCATTTTGTGCCAAAAGTATTAATCAAAATTTTGAAAACTACAAGCTAATTCTGAAGTATCAGAATGAAAATATACATTGCAAATCAAAAAAAAATAGAATAAAATTGTTTTTTCTTCTTTTTTTTGCTTCTGGATTTTTTCCCCAGTTTACAGCAGGTACCGCTGTCACGGAATTGCATGTGTGCTGTTCTATAAAAGTATACTTTTATTAGAAATCGGTGTATGCAACAGATATTTTGTGTTCATAAAATGTCACCAACCTATCCAGTTGAGTAACTTTCGCTATTGCTCCAACCCGCTGGGCCCTAGCCAGATTATCAGACAGCCATCTAAATTAGTTTACAAATAACATTAGACCAACAGAAGCCAACGGGACACAAAATTCAAACTTCAGTACAAACTTCCACTTTGGGTTCACGGTTCAGTGCAATTTCTTTATAGCAGGGAAAACAGGATTTTAAAATTATTATTAAAATCGTTAACGCATAATAAAAACAATACCCCCCCCCCCCATCCTTGCTGCCACCTTCACCCCAACTATATTAAAATATATATATAAAGAACACTGCATCACATTTCCTCTACTAGAAGGGCACTTCATAATGGCACCCATTTCCACTGGACGGGTACCCATGGGGGTACGTTGAGACCACTGTAAGGGCACCTTATAGGGCACTGCATGCCAACAGCAGCAGGTAGCATGGCAATGATGGCATGGCTTGTTGAATCACTAGAAGGGCATTCTTTCACATTCTGGCTCTACAAAGCACATCATCATGCTGTCTGACATGAAGGGGGCAGCCTTGGTGGCACTCAGTCATGCTTGTGAATGTCAGCCAATAGCTGCAGTTTTGCCCCTCTAGAGGAAACTTTAACGATGTTTATGCCCCCCCCTCCCCCCCCTGAGTTCACCAGTGATTAAGACTGTGCCTCAGCCACATAAATTCCATAAAATATGTGAAGATGTGCTGTTGGCTAAACCGGTCAGTCTGTTGCACATAATTTGTAAATTAGTTTATTTCTTATTTACACCTTTCGAGTAGCATAAAACTGACCTATCGGATTTTTTTGGGATGAGTGGGTGGAGCAGTAATTATTCATGTTAAGGGGCGATTTAGGTAATTAACTTTAAGTTAATTGCAGTGGTAATCCTCCTTAGTCCATGCCAGTCCATGCAATTTATTTATCATTTATTATTCCAGTCCGGTAACTTAAGAGTGTCGGATTGACTAATCTAATAAAAAACAGATGAAATAACATGAATTTGAGAATCATATTAGTCCTGCTGTGAGAATCCAATTATCTATGTTTACTTAAACATTTTACCACAGCGGAAAATCAATTTTTAGGAAAAAAAAAAAAAGAAAAAGATTCTAATAAGTTGTGCCATAGTTCCCCAGTCAACAGGATTACATGCTTCTATGAGTTTATTTAATTATAAGATACTCGATCGTGATGAATGCGCCCGGGCATGGTTTTGCATAGCAAGGTAAGTGTACTCACTTCACGTTGGTGACGCATTGCTCGATGCCAGCTTTTCGGTTGGTATCCAGGTCTCCATGTGCGAAAGCTACCAGCCACCAGCCCATGGCAAACAGTAGCCAACTGCACAGGAAGCTCATGGTGAACATGACCAAGGTGAAGCGCCATTTCAGATCGACCAGGGTGGTGAAGACGTCCTGCAGGAACCTCCCCTGTTCGCGGATGTTCTTGTGCGCTATGTTGCAGGAGCCGCTTTTGGCTATGAAGCGCGCCTTGTTTATGCGGTCCCTAAAGACAGGCTTTCGGGGTATACGGGAGACGAGCCCCGGCAGCGCAAACTCCTCGGGGATTATGCTCTTTCTAGGCAACATAGCTGCTACATAGTATATAAACTCCTACAGAAACTTTAATGCGACTTCCCAGGACAACTTTAATTCCAAAACAGAATAAATTACTACTGATCTACTCCAGTCTTAATTCATAACAGCAAAAACATCAATTAAACTATGACACACTAATGAAGATGTAAACAAAATATAATTAACAAATGAATTTTACACAGTCTATATTTGGATTACTTACTCATAATAGTTGTATATTTTGTCCAGGGAAAAGTCGACCTTTAAAATCTTTAAAAGATCGGATTACACTAAATACGACTCAAATTGTTTACCTCCAAAAGATAATGTGAAAATACATCCATACGCGTTTTAGAATAAGTTCTAAAGAAGGGTGGGTTTACAGGAGTTTTCCGTACGAGCCAAATCCTATTGACGTACAGGCAAGGGGCGGGATAAATCACACTTTAACTAACCCGTGCTTTAGTCTTTGTTTTGTTCGTTGCGTACTGTCAAATTTAATTGTGTATAACTTGCACTCCATAGACAATTTTTCTCTGATTCAATGAGAAGCAAATTTGGTTAAAACAACGCCATAAACGAGGTTTAGCGAGCAATTATTATTACGTACATCCAGGTGCCGAATAATGCTACTTGTGCAAAATTACATTTATTTTGTCGCTTCTACTCAAAAATTTTACAATTTTTTGAGAGTAAAGTTTATCAGTAACATTTGAAATATTGACAATACCCTCTTTGCTCAACAGATGGCGCCAGTTCGCATCAGACGGTGTATCTTAGCTGACGGCTGTCAAAACGGCGGTCTCAAAAAACTTCTAGCGTTTAGAGTGGCAAATAAATCCACTTTATGGATATGACGATATAGATAGACAAATATAAACGCAAAATAACAAAACTGAGGCAAGCATTTCTAATTCAGTAAAATACCATTACATACAGTAGGTCTACCCGAAATCATTTAGTTTACATAGTTCTATAGGCTACTAATTTCTCGTACTTGCGGCTATTAGTAATTATACTGTTGTATAATTCTTCCTGAAATATGCAGATATTCTTTTTTAATGGAAAAACGAAACAGCATAACCCAAATAAAAAATAAAAAGTGCAATCAATACAAAAAGTAGTTTAATTAAAAACGAATTCACTTTACAATAACGACAGTAGTTATAATTCGAACGAATTGTGTAATCAGTTCAGCTTGTTCCAGTGAAATGTATTCATGAGATATGAATGAAATATTAATTTGAGCCACAAACTGCAGTTTTATCACAAACCACAAAATGACAGTTTCACTCCCAAAGTGCTTTTATTAGCAGTTCAAGTGTTTAAAAATGAGGCACACAGGATATTGTTCTTAAATGCCATTTCAATGTAAAAATACTTACATATGTACAGTTAAGACAGATTGAAATATTAAAACTGCTATAAATCAAGACAAAGTTTAAAAACGTGAACTTATGACAACATGCAGAATATTTCACAATTACGACATCAACTGTTGAGCATTTTCCAATGCAAGTCCAATGCAAAAAAACCTAGTAATAAGATGTCATGACAGTGACAGTTACAGATTAAGAACAAAGAGTGTAAAGTAATTTAGCATCACTGTAAATTAATTTCAGAAGAAGGCTACAGATGTCAGACATTTACAGGAAGGACGGCTGGCTTTCTCGGGAGATTATACAGAGTACGGCTGAAACTGCTGCAGTATTAGACCATGTATCACTCTGCAAAATATAGGCTGCATGAAAAGTGAAACAACTTTTTACAAATGCAGTCTTTATCTGATATGCACGGGCAAAGTTCCCTGAAGACTCAAAAATCATTTGCATCTAAAGGGATTTTCAGGATTCATGGTTTATTAATTTATTATGTACTTATATTTATGGGAATGGACCAGACCATGTCTTCAGTCAGTTCGTCCGTCCGTCCATCCCTGTACCCGCTTGTCCTATTGACGTTCGTGGGGGGGTCTGGAATCTATGGGTGGGGCCCTAACCCATCTCACACACCATTCACTCGCACACCATTCACTCACACATACACATCTACGGACAATTTAGTAGCTTCAATTAACCTCCGCAAGTTTTGGGACTGCGGGGGGGGGAACCGGAGTCCCCGGAGGAAACTCCATGATGACACAAATGCCTTCAGTCATGCATTACAACTATATACAGTAACTTATCCTACTAGGACTCAAGGCATGTTTTCAGGGACGACACAGTGTTATATTGGCCTCTGTCTAAAGTAGGAAGCAAAACAGAGTTTCTGAGAAACGTGACAGAAAACAGCACTCCTGCATTTTTTCACTTGCATGGTGGATTTCTATTTCATGGTAGCAAATGGCCGCAAAGGTACACTAGACAGTACCAAAAAGCGTATGATTACATGTATTTTCTGCCTTAAAAAAACAAGCTTGAGTTTTGAAATTTAAAACATTAAAGGTTTGTGTCTAACCTAAACATACTGAATTTCGATTCAGACTGAGATTCCCTTCTCAGTGAACAGTTTAACTAAAACAGCAGCCAGTAAAACATTTTAGACAGACAGTGCATATTTGGACAGACGCTCCAGGTTCAGTAGGTATGGAAGACAGTGTTTGTACAAATTCAGGATTAAACTTTTGTACACCATCTGTACCGGCTGCATATTTCTTCAGAGTAACAGTAAAACACGGTATACAACTTGGCAAAAGTAACAAAAATTTGAGTACGAAAAGATTCTAAATCTGTATAATAATATTTATATAAAACATTTAAGAGTCAAACAGTCACTCCTCGGGGAGGATTTGAGGTTTCGGCTTAGGTGTCCCGATCTTCCTTGTTTGTGAGCCACAATATCGTGTGAATTTTACGCCGTGACATAATCCCAGAGTGGGCCGGCGGCCGTCAGGGTCACGTGATGCGTCTGGTAACCGACAGGCCGACTGCTAAGCGCTGTATTGAAGACAGGGGGTTTACATGTCGGCCCGTACGAAGGACGCAAACAGGCCATCCTCATCCTCCAGAAGGGTCTCAGGCTTGTCGTACTCCAGGATGTTGCCTCGTTTCATGACGATCACCAGGTCCGCCGTCAGGATGGTGTGGACCCGATGCTGCGGGACACGCGTGTACACAAGCCCAAAGGGGCACACGCACACACAGAAACACAGAACACCATTAGAGAAGTCCTCCACGACAGTGTTAGCCTTGCGCTAGCAGGCTAACAGGCCAATCTTTTGGCTTAAATTCCTTTATACTTGCTACTTCTATAAATTAACTAAAACAGAACCTACATGGGTTGCCCGAAAGTGTACACAATGTATAATAAAACATTCTCCTCCTTCTATTCTTCAGTAAAGGTGCTATACCAGACATGGTAGTACTCAAAAGCATTCTAAAGTTGAAGAATGGTGGTATGAATCTTCCATAAGAATGTAAACCCTCAACAAACGAAGGCCAGAAGGAGCCAGGAAGAATGAACTCTGTGTTAATGCAATATTTAGACATCAACTTGGGACTTAATTGGCTGTAAAAGGCTACATACAGTGGTGAGAGTATAAGAGCATTCCATGGTGATGAAGGAATGGGACGGTGGAAAGTCAAGAGGGGGGTTTGGTTGAGTACCGACCAGGGCCTGAGCGTTGGTGGCGCGGGACAGGACGCGGCCTGGCTACTTGTGTGTCCTCACTAAGACGCTGAAGAGGCTGTCCTCCTGAGCCAGCAGGCTGACCGCACTGTCACACTCCACTAATATCCCGGAGGAGAACACTAACACCTGCTCAGCCTCCAAGATGGAGGCCACCAGGTGCTGCACGAAGAGAGATGCACACACAGGTGGACAGACAGGTAGAGGGATGGAGAAGAACAGAAGAGAAAAGGAGTGAACGCAGGAGGAGAACTGCCTCTTGTGGCATGCAGAGTTTAGGCCTGGAAAGTGCTTCCATGAAATCACAAATATATATATGTATGTATGTATATAAGTGTGTGTATATATATATATATATGCGCATATGTGTGTGTGTGTGTGTGTGTGTGTCTGTGTGTGTAGAGTGTGGCTTGTCAGGATACACTCTTGGTGTCCAGCTTCAATGTTTTTAATGTTTTTCCACCTCTCCTCATGACACATTACCATCATGGAAGCATAACTCGACCAGAGTCTGATGCTCTGAGTCTCAAGCATAAAAAGCCACCTGAATGTACTCAGGGAAATCCTGTGGTAAAAGACCCACGATTCAAAGCTTGGTTCCAATTCAAAATGTAAAGTGAGCACAATACAGGGAAGGAATCGGAAAGGTTAGACACAGATGATGGAGAGTGAACTGGGAAAAGGTGGGAAATTGTGACTGTAGGAAGTAGGAAAGTGGCCGAGGGCAAATGCTAAAGTGCTGTCACAGTTTAGCATGACAGCAGCGAGGACAGGTGACAACCATCTCAGCGTGACTTACAGCGATGGTGACCACCGTGCGGTCAGAAAAGGCCGTCATCACCACCTTCTGTAAGATGTTCTCCTGCAAGGTTAAAATATAGATGGGATTAATAACCACCTTTCAAAACCCGACTTATCAGCGATTAGGCCACCAGTGAACTGGCAGCAAGAGTCCAGCCGCCGGTTGTTAAACCCATAGCGACGTGGCTGCTGGGAAAACTGAAATAACCGACAGATGACCAAAGAAATATTGACTGCCTAGATAAATTAGGTCCCAAGCCATGGGAGAAGAACATGAAGATCACGCTTATAGCCAAACAATTTAATAGGATTTACCTGATTTCCATAACACTGGAGAATCTCCACTAAAGCTTAAACTAGGAGTATAAGAAAAGTATTTCATAAACTGAAATAAATCAAGATACAAGAATAAGATTAAAAACCCACAACTAAAAAAAAAAACTATAAATATTGCTATGAAAACTAACTGAAACATAACAAAAACAAATGTTGTTCATTTTTATATAGCGCCTTTCAAAACAGTCGTCCCAAAGCGCTTTACGGGGTTGTGTTGCGATACATGAAACAGAAGTAGAGGGAGATACAGAACGAGGAAAAAAGGAAGGAAAGAAATTGACTGAAGAAAGCCAGATGAGAATGGAGGAGAGAAACCAAAAACTCCCACGTAAGGAGAAAAAAATCCTCTGGGGGTGAAAGGTCAACTGGCTGCGCCCCCCCCCCCCCCCCGAAATACTAACATAACCAAAAACAGAGAAGAGTGGACATGCTTGCTAAAAGGGAGGTATATGCTGGGATTAAGGATTAAGACAAAGTCCATCAATGAGTCCGTTATTCATGTTGGCCTCTGAGAAGTGGCCAAGGTCTTTTCTCCACGTTGGGCTGAAGGCCGCACCCACCATGATATAGTTCGTATGGCCCATTCGTGATGTCACCCCTCCGTGGGACTGAACCAGAATATATCTTGAAAATAAAAACTAAGAAAACTAAAACCACATTTATAATAAGTAAAACAAAACTAGATTTCAAACAATTGAAAAACAAAATAAATGAAAATAAATAAAAATGATCAAAGCTACATAACCCTGTTTCACACAAAGGTGAATGCGCCATGGCAACAGCAGAGGTGCTCTCACCGTTGCCATGTCGATAGAGGCCGTGGCCTCATCCATGATGAGGATGCTGCTCTTACGGACGAAGGCCCTGGCCAGGCAGAAGAGCTGCCGCTGGCCCACACTGAAGTTCTCGCCTCCCTCTGTCACCACAGCGTCTGTGATACAGGTACAGTTAGCAAACAATTTCTCAAATTATGTAAGTAATGCATTCCACAAACCCTTACGTGAGTCAAATGTTCCATAAATCGGATTCCCACACCATTCAAGATACCTTATAGCACAGTGTTTCCCAACCCAGTCCTCAGGGACCCAGTCCATGTTTTTGCTCCCTCCCAGCTCCCAGCCAGATAGTCCACATTTTTGCTCCCTCCCATCTCCAGGGGGAGCAAAAATGTGGACTGTCTGTGGGTCCCCAAGGACCGGACTGGGAAACTTTGTTATAACAAAAATCACATATGCCAAAAATATACTAGTAATATATACTTAAAAACACATATTAAATAAAACGATAAAGTGTACACTTACAGGTGTATATTGCCTTAAGTGCTTTCATCAGCTCTATGTATCTTGTATATTAGTATATTTTTTGCGCAAGTCCACATTTATGTAAGTCGGTTTACGTAAGTCGGGAGCTGCCTGCACCATATTTATTGATAAGAAAATCATTCCTCCTCCACTGAGCTTATAGGGTTAACATACAACATGGCTCATCCTTATTTGTGTTTGAATTCTCCGATACCCAGGTGATGTTACAGAAACATCCCCATTCCTTTCTCCTGAGAATGATCTGCCCAAGACCAATCGGTCTACGGCCATATTTACCCAAGCCCCCAGGGAGTGCCTTGACCATGTTCTTCAGCTGGGCGATCTCCAGCGCCTCCCACAGACGGTCGTCGGTACATTTGCGCTCAGGATCCAAGTTAAACCTACCATATCATATATGATTACTCTTATTACAACGTGACTTGGGAAAAGGGGTTTGTCTTTATTAGACTGGAAGATTTACAATAAAAAATAAATCAAACTTAGGTAATAAATAAACCACTTAATGTAAAATTATTATCCTACATAAAAATAATGAGAAATACTGCTGGCTTTAAATACCATCCCATGTTTACAAAAAAATAAAGACACGCACTGTACAGGTCATTCCTCTAATTTAACTGGCGACAGATAACACAGCGAATAACCATAATAGGCAAAGCTCATATCTGGATAGTTAACGGCTAATATATTCTTTTCAATGTGCACTAGAGATGAGATTCTAACAACCGTGTCTGGAGAGGTCAGACAGGACTGCCTCCATTAATTATAACCAACTGGAGGACTGCTGATGCTTCACCACAAACCCTCGTGGTGTCAGCGAGATCAGAAAAAAGGGCTCGAAGGGACGATCCAAGTTTGAGGTTTCCCCACGTGCGAGTGCCGTCTAGGTGCATTAATGCTGGGGTTTATGCGGTTAGCTGATAGCCGCGCGAGAGTCCGTGATGGACGAGGTGAGCGCTTAGCGTTAGCGAAGAGGCCTGGCGGAAAACACAACCTGGACTGATGCCAGTTCAACTGGGGTTTCTGGTCGTTTCATAACTTCCTGAGCAAAGGCAGAGAGTGTGTTTGTTATGGACCCAAACATTTGCGGCTACCGGGGTCACCGCGATCACATGATTACGGGCAAGCGGAAAAGGATCGGAATGGAATGGAATGCTGCAAATAATCACCCAGGGTCATCACTAGCTCCAGTGGCTCAGTGAATGGTGTACTGCGCTTGCAAAACGAAGGATCTGGGTTTGAATCGCCAGGAACACATGTAAATTGTAACCTGTGTCTTACTGTACGTGTAAGTATTTTTGAATAAAAATGTCAGATAGATTAATAAATTTATCTATTGGTTTACTGTGTGTGATCATGGCTGTATATCATAGAAGCAGACATGCTAACGCTCTGCCTGTGATCCCCATAACCCCCCCCCCCACACAATGACACACATACCGGATGGATCCGCTGAACAGAATCGGGTCCTGAAGGATGATGGAGAGCCGGGAGCGCAGTGTGTGGAGCGGCAGCTTGCAAATATCAATGCCGTCGATGACGATCTTCCCTGATGGATGGTAATAGTAGCATGACAGACATTTATATCCACTGTAGGCTGGTTATTTATACATTGCTTACTGATACGGGGCAAATACTTCAAGTGCTTCCTTAGTAAAAAATCTTTTTCCTGTATGTGAGTATAAAAGATGATTGCATTGTTCGATGCTGACATGGTGGATAAATATTGTCAATGCGTTCTCGCTGACAGGACTGTACGGTAACAATGCTCTCCGACATACCGAAGTGTATCCAGGCGATGGTCTAAATCTTTGTGATGGTACACAGCAGTACTGCGAGCCATTGCAATCGTGTTACATAATGTTGCCGCGGGAACTGGCTAGACGCATGTAACAGGCGCGGAGCTGAATATAGAGAAAGGGCTGCGACTGGTGTAAACAGCCCCCACGGTGCTTGGAGCGGGATTTATCTCGGCGGGCCGTGACTCACGGACACCCACCTTCAAACATGTCCACCATGTTGAAGAAGGCCAGAGACAGGGAGGATTTCCCACTACCGGTGCGTCCGCAGATGCCCACCTGAAAGGCAGACGACGTGTGGGTGGGCAGGTAGGGGGCATTTGTGAATCGCCAGGACCTATGATCAGAGAGCACTCATACACCGGCCGACAGCCTGCTTCTCCTTCTGGCAGCAGCCACGGGCATCTGTGCGCCCACGTTCTGCTCTGGCAGCCAATGTTCCCTACAGTCGTGAGCCTCCCGCAGGCCCAAAGACCCCATGACCTTTGACCTGCCTTCCAGATCCTGCTTGTGAGCAGCGGGAAGCCAAATGACACGGCAGAACGTCAGAGGAACCGTAGGAACCAGAGCATCTGCTAAGGGACGCGGAAAGACTGCCCCAGTTCTGCCGCCGTTCAGGTACCACAGCACACCTAATATGTGGAGCCTGACTTCGATCATCTCAAAGTGGAAGAAGATGGTTTCTAGTTAGTAGATTAAAGCAAAAAAGAGCTAAGCAATGCATGGTCTAGAAAAACATTCCCTTGAGCAGCGTGAAGCACCTTTTGTCCTGGCTTGATGAAGGCGTTGACGTGCTTGAGGACGGGCTTCAGTGATGGGTCATAGCGCACACAGAGGTTCTGTATCTTAATCTCCCCGCGCTGGGGCCAGTCCTCGGGCACCTGGGCAGTGTCTGGAGGGGGCAGAGATCTTACCGCACTGTAATCTCCTGTCAGCTCCAGCTCCAAAGCTATACTGTGGCAACATCAGTGCAGCCCAAAAGACGGCTGATGCTGATGGCATCGGGAGATGATTACGCGGCCGCATGATGACTTTGTAAACATCTACACCAACAGCTGTCAACATCTGTGCCCGCACGCTTCAATCTGTTTAACCGAACGCGTTTTTAAAGAGGATTATCCAGATCTAAATACCAGCATGATTAAAGTACACCGCCTTCCAGCTCTTTCAGTTGTTTACCTTACTAAATAATCTTACAAAACATACCTACAGAGTATAGCTAATTAAAGGAATACATTTTGGATGAATTGTAAATTAATGAGCCGGATTCCACAATTTGGAACCACAGTCGGAGACATTTTTCCACTATGTCATATAAGCAGGGAGACATTTTAGGGTGAAAATAGACCGGAATGAACCACATTGTGGTTCCTGAGATGATCTTGCTGCACTGAACACTTCTGTCAGACAAGTCTGTCCTATCATCTCAGACATATGTTTACATCCCCAGAAATTGGTCTTTCTGTCTTATCATAATGTCATGGCAATGGCTCACGCAAACTGATAGTGTACTGGGCTTTGGAACAAACCTAAAAAAAACTCAGGATCCCTCCCCATAGTAATATAATGTAAACATTTGGAAAGTAAGTCAGCAGATCAAGCTAGCTTGGTCTATAAATGGAGGTGGAGCGACTAGCCAACAGAGCTGAAGGTTGTCAAAAAAGGTTTTCTGCTGGAGTGATAAAACGTAGGTCACCCGTCTGGGAAGCCAAGCATATATGCAATGTAATATTTACCCATGGAGCCTTCGTAGTTCTCCGACTCAGTGCTGAGGAAGCTGTTGACCTTCTTCACTGCAGCCATCTGGACCTCCAAGTCAGCCAAGTTCCTCACAACCCAGTTCAGGTAATTTGTGACCTGGAGTGAATGAAGACCGGGAGTGAACGAAGACCAGGAGTGAATGAAGACTGGGAGTGAACGAAGACCAGAAGTGAACGGAGGCCGGGAGTGAATGAAGACTGGGAGTGAACGAAGACTGGGAGTTAACGGAGACTGGGAGTACTGAAGACAGGGAGTGAATGAAGACCGGGAGTGAACGAAGACCAGGAGTGAATGAAGACTGGGAGTGAACGAAGACCAGAAGTTAACGGAGACTGGGAGTACTGAAGACAGGGAGTGAATGAAGACCGGGAGTGAACGAA